CTGTTGCACAATTGGAGAGATCTTGGATGTGCCTTCCCACCCCAGTTTGAGAGATGGAGTGCTGGAAGGGAGACAGATGCACGCATATTATGCTTGGGTTGGAGTGGGGGGGCTCATGCTGTACCTCTGTTTGCTCCTGTGTGGCGTCTCCCTGGGCCCCTGCTTTTCTACCTTTTGAGAACAGACCCTCTCTTTGTGCTTTGTCAAGGTGGACTGATAATTGTGCGTAGCGCCGGTGCTGGGCTGTGTAGGGGTCTTTGTCAGGGAGAGTGGCAATATCTCAGCCCCCATTTGTGGTCCGGCTATTGTATAGGCTCGGAGACTGGGCAGGTGTGGTGGAGACGGTGAACCTGTTCATTGTGTAGTTGGGGAGTTGTGCTTTGTGAAGGCGGAATGAGCACTTGTGGTCTGCTTTCTAGCTTGGACTGTACTTGGGATGGCAAATATGTGTAGCTCTGTTTTCAGGCGGCCCTTAAAGGCTGCCCTTCTTGGGATCGCTTGAGTGAGTGAGTGAGTGGAGTTTGGGGTGTGTTCTTTCACCTGACTTGGGGCTGCTTTCTTGGGTGCAATTGTTGATTTGTCTCTGGAGCCCCGTTATGTATTAAAGCTGCATTGGAGTCTGGGGCGAGTGGCATTGGAGGCTGGAGTCTATGTTTGTCAAGATAATAGGATGATGGAAAGCGGCGTGTGAGGTTGCGCCTACTTCAGGGCAGTGTATCTGGTGCGCTGCTGTTTATCTGGACTGGCCGAGCAGTGCCCCTTTCCCACACTATGGTCCTTAAGTTTGTGCTTCATGAATGGAAAGGAGACTGAAGGAATGTGCATGTGGAGAGAGAGGGGCTTCAGAGCTCAGTCCCCCCTCTCCGTTTGCAGTTTTGAGGGTGGCAGGGATGTTTGCGAGCTGGCAGTGAGCCATGAGGCTTGTCTTGGGGTATTCTTTATCTTGTTCTCGAATTGTGAAGAACAGAAGGGGTCACTGTGGGGTGGAGGGCGTCTGCCGGCATGCTAATTCCGTCACAGACAGTGCTAAGTCATCTGATCTGCTATTGCCTGGGGTGGCAGCAGCAGGTTTCACTGGTAACCAGGCAGCAGCCCTGCCTGAGAGGGACACCACTGAGCGTGGAGCACCCTGAATGATTTGCTCGGGACGGCTGCTGCCGGAGCAAGGGTGCGATTTTCTCCGGCGCCTTCTGGCACAGAAGCACTAACCGTCAGGCCGCGCCATTTGAACTGGGTGGAGAGATGCAGCAATCAACGGGTGTGCGGCCTGGAGCATGACATCAGTGGCGGGGTGGGAGCACCATTGGCCAAGGGAGCACCTTAAAGCGCTACTTCCTGCCACGAGTGTTAAGAGATTTTGAATGTCCTTGTAGAGCGGCTGGGAATTTCTGTGACTTTATCAGGTATATGCTCTTGAATTGTGCATACTCTGATTGCAAGGAAAGGGCAGATGTACTCTCCCTATTTTTCAAGTTACTCTTGTTTCCTACTAGCACTTGACTCCTCAGTGATCAGTTTCTCTTTAAGGTGCTATTTACTTTTGTTTCGTGTGGGAGGTGAGTGTATGATTGTGTCTGTAAACTACGGATCCCACAGCATTGATACTTCATTCTGTTGGGTGGGCACCAGGATAGACTAGTCTCTCACGTCTAATGTATACTGATTTTTAAGAAGTCATGCTGTAGTGCTTAAAATCAGACTAAACATGAAGAGAACGACGTGCTTCTTCCTTGGTCTTGTGTATGTTACCAGTAAGCTTCATTGTGCCTTTGTTTATAAAGCCTTTTGACATTTTGGGCAAGGGAAAGATGTTGACATTTATGGCCAAAAAGGCTTATGATGAAGTTTGAGTACATGTTACAATTTGTGCTTTTGAGATAGGATGGTTCTACTCTACTTTAGTATCTTTGTGATTTTTAAAAGTATGGTATGTGTCATGTGAACCAAATGTTAGCAAGTACTATTTTCTCTGTAAAAGGTCATGTGTATTCTTCAATACATAAATGCAAGGTAAAAATCTCTGCCCCCCCCCCATCTTCTAAATGTATACTTACAAAGAGAGAGTAAGTTATAAAGCTAGGTATGTGTTAAAGAGAGGACAAATATAATGCAGTTTTTGTTTCTGTTCCAAATTGAAATAGAATTTCAGCTTATATAAAGTAGTACATTGAATAGGGACCCTGTTATGTTTCCCCTTAATCATATGTTATTTTAATCTTTATAATCTGCAAGTATTTAACAGCTGGCAGAACCCTAGAAATTTATCAGAAATGTATAATGTGTCCCTAGTGGAAAAGTGAGTAAAGGGACTTGGTACTTAATTTCTTTGTAATGTCTTTCTTATCTTGCTGTGGGAAGGATTTTTCCTATTTTATAGTGCTACCCTTTACCTTCTAAAGTAATAGCAAAATGGCTGCCTTTTTTTTTTTTTGGTCAAGTTGCTGTTACTTTCCCAAACAGCATCACATGTATAGCTTTTCACTTAAAAGAGAGGGGGGGATCACTTTGTGACTCTGGTGGGAGTTTCCAGTTTTATTATTCAAAACTGAAGAGTGGAAATAAAGGGATAACCAGGGTATCAGTGGGATGGTGCTGCTGCAGCATGCATTCTAAATAGCCCCCTGATCAAGGCATGCTTTTGTTTGCCTGTGCTACGGTTCAAGGGATATATGTCTTTTGAATGGTATTTCATGTGGATGTTGTTCCTTTAGCCAGATTGAAGATAACATACAACATTAATTTAGGTTTCCAAAACTGACACACTGAAGGAATCCCTCTAAATCATGGACGAAGAATCTCTAGTCAGTATGGGGTTTCCCCATCCAGTTTATTCCCCACACATTCCTACTTCTGCCAGCTGGGAAAAAATTATCTCCAGCTAGTCGCTGGCGCTTTATCCTCCAAAAAGTGTATGGGCAGAGTCTGGGAGAAAACTGCTGAGTGATGTAGGAGTGAATCCTGTCTGGTTACTTCTAAGTAGGCCTAAAATCACATTTTTGGGCCCCACCAGTTAAATCTTTGACCACATCTACAGATGGAATGCAGGCCTCAAGATCTTTGTTAGATGGAAATTCAGCTCATGAGCTGAAAAAGGTTTCCCACTCATGATCTAAATAAAGCTATTATACAGTATTTGCAACCCTAGAATTTATGTAAGCAAAATGGCTTCTGTTGTGTATCATTCATTTAACTATAGCAATTTTGGGTGTGACAGACCAGCTGGGTTCATTCTACTTTGTCGGGTTCTGCAGTCCACTCAAATGAAATCCTCTGTCACAAAATAGGGGATAGTTAGTCCCTGATTTAGCAAATGCATTTTCATGAGTACAGAGTTTTGTAAATTAAGTCAGGCCCTTGATTGTGTATGTTATGGCAGGTTATGGCAGGTTTGCACAATAGAGTAAACGTCTAGTAGACTGAGAGTGCTGTTCGATGGGCCCACCTTTTAGTGCCAGTCCTCTTCATTGGTGTTGCTATACTGCATTTCCCAATAAGTGGAAAGGCAGGTCTTGTAACTCTTGAAGTCATTATAGCACATGACAGCAGAAGGGTGGGAATGCAGTTCCTGTTCCATGACTGACATTCATTCTTTCTTGTATTATTATATTTTTAGTAAGAAAAGTGCTGTTAAGGAACACTAAGTCATGCTGGCTCCCTGTACATCAGGAAAGAATAGGCTTCATTCAGTCCTGTGTGATAACTTTGCATTGGAACCTCCGTGCTCAATGTTGTAAATTTTGCAAAGCAGTAGTGCGCAGACATCAAGAGACAGGATCGTGTGAGTAAGCAAGACAGAAGTAACTGATGCTCTTGAGTGTACACTCCTGGAAAGGTTCATCAGAAGTGCCTCAGACTCGCAAAACCCTCAGCAGTGAGTAGGTATGAGGTGGTGCAGTTGGAAACCATGGTCTAGGAAGTGTTTTTGGAGATTTATTATTTATTTATTTATTAAAACATTTTTATGCCGCCCCATTCGCCGAAGCCTCGGGGCGGCTTACAACAAAAAATTGAAATAACATTTTAAAATATATACATTAAAATACAAATATATAATATAAAACTTACAATATAAAACAAGCCGCCCTGGCCAAATAAAATTCAATAATATTAACATTTAAAATACTGCTTAAATAAAAAGGTCTTCACCTGGCGCCGAAAAACAAATAACGACGGCGCCAGGCGGACCTCTCTGGGGAGCGCATTCCATAACTTAGGCGCCACCGCAGAGAAAGCCCTCCTCCGAGTACCCACCCTCCTAATTTCCTTCACTGAGGGCTCCCGGAGAAGGGCCTCTCCCGCCGATCTCAGGGGGCGGCTGGGCATATAAGGATGTAAGCGCTCCTTCAGGTACCCAGGACCCAAGCCGTTTAGGGCTTTATAGGTCATCACCAACACCTTGAATTGGGCCCGGACTTCAATGGGAAGCCAGTGAAGCTGACGGAGAACTGGAGTCATGTGAACATAACGTCCAGTCCCCGTCAGCAGCCTGGCAGCTCTATTTTGGACCAATTGAAGTATCCGAACCGTCTTCAAGGGTAGCCCCACGTAGAGCGCGTTACAGAAGTCCAGACGGGAAGTCACCAACGCATGTGTCACTGTCGCCAGGCAGTCATTCTCCAGATAGGGGCGCAGCTGATGAATCAGCCGAAGCTGGAGGAAAGCACTCCTCGCCACTGCTGTTACCTGAGCTTCCAGTGAAAGCTCCGGGTCGAGGAGCACTCCCAAGCTGCGGACCTTGTCCCTAAGAGGGAGTGCAACCCTGTTCAGGACAAGGTTCAATTCACAGACCAAGAAATATGGACCCCCCCACTCTCTCCGATACAGACACCAGAGGCTTTGCACGGATGGGCATTCATGTATAAACAAGGCCTGAGGTGGGGAAAGGAGCATTTTGACACTGTTTCACTTGTTTTTTCCCCTTGGGAGCTTTTTATTGCAAGCTACAGCCTAGCGCAAAAGAAGGCTTGGTACCCAAGCCAAGAAATATCGAGATGGCTAGTTGTTTCTCAGAGTGCACCAGCTGAATGAACAGTCTTTTCTTAAGCTGTTTGTTGCATCTGACTTGGGAGTGGCTGAGGAAGGAGCATTATCTTGGCTCCAAATCAGCAAGCTTGTCAGCAGCGATTTGCACCTTCTTTCTCCCTCTTTTCTTTAAGTACCTTGCCTAAAAGGCCATGATTAAATGCTCATATTTGTTATTAAATTTAAGATGCAAGCCTTGCAGTGTCTGAGAATTGGCCAGGAAGGTGCCTATGACTCATGAAAACCTCCTTTGTTTATAGTCTTGGCATTCCTGTGGGGAGTTTTCACTAAGTCTTTGGAGTGATGTTGGGTTAACATGTTTCCAGCTGCTTCAGCTGAAGGAGGGTTTTGGTATTTAAATGAAGTGGTTTTTGTAGCACATTGGCAATGATCTCAGCTGTTCTGAGGTACATTTTCAGCTACTGAGGTACAGTTCTGAGGTACATTTTCAGCTACTGTGAACTCCCACCCAGCTTTCTTGTTAACAGTGTCTTGGGAGACAGCCTTGTTCTTCATGCTAATTCCACATGGGTTTAGATATGGAGCAGAAGAAAATCTGGAGGGCAGTAAAACACTTCCACTCCGTTTTCCATCCTTTCCCCCCACCTTTTTAGCCGTTTCAAGTTGTAATTAACTTGGTTGCTTGTTCTGCATTTTGAGCAGTTCCTGAAATGTTCCAAACACTTCCATAAAATTGCACAGGAATATTAAATTAGAAATAGAAATTATAGATGCATCTGGAGCTTGAAGGTTGCCCAGGAATTGGAGAGTTTCTGCTTTTCAGGTTTAAGGCATAATTTCTCTCCTGTAGCGAACTCTGATAAACAAATAGGTCTTGAATCAGTGCAAACCAGAACTTTCCCTCGGAAGAAAAAGGACTGTTGTACTTTGGGCATATCATGAGGAGGCAAAACTCCCCAGAGAAGACAAATCATGCTAGGGAAAATGGAAGACAGAAGAAGAAAACGAAATGGGGTGGAGATGGGTTGACTCCATAAAGGAAACCACAGCCTTGAATCGAGCTGAGCAAGGATAAAGCATTTTGGGGTGCTTTCATACACAGGTTTGCCATATGGCACGTAACAACAAACGTTCTTTAGAGCAAGATTAGGATGCATCTGTAACAAAGAAATAGGACATGGCACCTACAGATATTAGAAAAGTAAGCACTGCTCTGATCAGCAGTAAATACATCTAGGCAAATTGAACTGAAGTGTAACAACTCACACCTTCCCTCCTGTGAGCCTTTGATTTCTAAAATAACTGCATTTCATTTCCTCTTCCAATTAAAGGTGGGAATTTTCTCAATTTGACAGTTACTGTTTGGAAAGAGATGAAAAAAAGACGCATCACCAACAATCCATAGCAGTTCAAAATAGCT